AGATGGAGGCAGAGGACTCTAGACTCATGAACTAAGAACAGAGGGACTAACAACTGGTGGCCAGGAGGCAGACTTGCAGAATGTGCCCTTTGAAGATATAAATTAATATATATGCCTGAGTGGTTTTTTTGTTTGTTTGTTTGTTTGTCTTTTAAAAAGCTAAAATGGATAGAGAGAAATACTGTTAACTGATGGTATAGGAAGGGGATTATAATCATTGTAATTAAACAAGACGTACGATTTGTTGAATGTAAAACTGATAATATGCCCTGTAAACTTTCACTCGATCCACAATAAAAACCTTAAATAAAAAAAAAAAGAAAGACATTAGCTAATTACTGAATGAAATGATACTCAAGAAATAGGACCACAAACGAGAAAGAAGGGAACCAAAGACTTAAAGAAGAGACTAGTCTACAGGGCAGAAAAGTCTACAGGAAACATGGTTTCATCTACTCGGGGACCAGAAGAACTAGCTGGTGCCCAGCTTCTAGGGCCAACTGTTCAATCAGGGCCACAGTAGTGAACCCTGAGAGAATGGGAGAGACACTTGGAACAGAACCTCAATGTCCTTCAAAGCAAAAAGAGCAGACTTCCTAAAGTGGTTGAGACTAGAGTTCTTCCTGAAACTTGCCCTAAGATATTCTTCAACCATGAACCAAAATTAATCTCTCAAGTTACCTAGTAACTAGACAGCAAATTGGCTGAAAAAATAATGAATATCATCTTTAAGTACTGTGTTCCTTTTTTAAAAAATCATCTATATGAGACCAAAGAGTCAACATTTACTTTAAAGCAATAATGAAAATTGAATGGACAGGGAAAATTAATGGAAAAAGAACCACTACAATGGAACTAATAAGAATGCTCACACATACAGAAGAACACAGCCAACATCAATGAATAATTTGTGTAGAAAGTGTTGAATGGGAACTTAAACTGCTACATAAACCTTTCCTGAAAACACAATAAACATATATGTATTTTTTCTTTAGGTCAGGTCACTCACCAGGAAAATTCATGAATTAAATAGTTGCTCATAAACAAGGAGAGAAAATAGGTCTTTCTTTTTCTGTTTGCAATGTTTTCTGTTGTAATATCTCACAGAGAGCCTATGGTATTCTCTGATAAAGATTAACCAATTAGAAAAATATGTATCTTTTTTGAGTAAAAGCTATTTAATATCTGCATTTCAGATGGAAAAAATAAAGAACTCGAACCCTATGAAGCATATGGTTTTTGAAATCCAAGTCAATTCGAGGAGAAACTGAAACCATTGTGGTGGTGCCTGCTTTAGTCAAGCTTCTTATTTTGTTCTTTTAGAGTATCATTTAATTATAAAACATAACGTTTTATAATTAAAACAGGCTTTTCTTTAAAAATCCTGTTTCATCTGTTTTTTGTTTTTGTTTTTGTTTTGTAATTTCATCATTCTATGCTAAAAAGCAAAGGTTCCAAGAAAAGAATCTATTCTTCACCATCAAGAATAAAGAAGTATGTTGTTATGTGTTGTGGAGTGGATTCCGACTCATAGAGACCCTGCACAGGGTTTCCGAGGCTGTTAATCTTTCGGGAGCAGAACACCTCATCTTTCTCCTGCGGAGCAGCTGGTAGTTTCAAACTGCTGACCTTGCGGTCCGCAACCCAATTTGTAAATACTACGCTACCAGAGTTTAAGATGGTTTAATTGCCTCCATCTGCATTTTACATTTTAATTATTTTAAATCTTAATAAATCAAAACCAAAAAAATGGCAAAGAAAATTACTTTGAGCAGAATTACAGTTTAATTCTTATACTTTACACATTGAGAAGAAAAATTTGCAAAACTACGGACAATTGCGTTTGTAAATCTATTCTTCATCCTTGCCACCAGGAGTGACTACTAGGATGCCTAACTCAGGTCAAATCACAGCATAAACCTGCATGACCTAGAAAGCACTTGTGTAGTTATGACTACTTTTGTTCAATTATCACTTTCTTTGATCCAGACAGTTATTCTGAATGAGCAGTAAGCCGATTTGTTGAGAATAACAACGTACGGTGTGATAGTTAGGCTCTGTGTCAATCTGATTGAGCCAGGATTCCCAGCTGCTGGGCAGTTGATAGTTAACTCTATGATGATAGGCTATGAGCAGGCATAGTTAACTCTGTGATGATTGGCTATGAGCAGCCAATCAATTGAAAGGCTGTTTCCTTGGGGGAGTGGCCTGTTCCCAATATAATGGACAAACAGGAAAGACTCCTTTTCTTCTCTGCTGGGTCTCCATCCTGCATCTGGGTCATCCTTCAGCCTCCGGTTCTTTGAACTTGAGCCAGTGGCCTGCTCTATTGTATGTCTGCCTGCTGGGCCCGCCCATTGGGTGTGCCTGGAAAATTGTGTGCCCAGGGTTAATGTGCTGAACTGCAAGGTAGGTCTGAACCACAAGGTCAGCGATTCAAGCTCACTAGCTGCTCTTCAGAAACCCTATACAGGGCTGCTATGGGTCAGAACCGACTCAATGGCACTTAACAACAAAAATAGTATGTAGTTCTACTTTTGCTTCCCTGGAGAACCCAGCCTAAGACATACAGAGAGTTCCAGAGAAGAGAATGTTGTACCTTAGCAGTTTTTAAATGTCCTTCAGACTGCTACATTATAATTTGGGGCACTTAAAAGCACATTCCTGGGACCCAGGTCCCCAAACTCTGATTCAGTAGATTTGTAATAGGACTGAAGATTCTGTATGTTTCAAAAGGTTCCCAGGTATGGTCACCGATAAGGGAAAGCGAGGGAAAAACAGCAATGAATCTGTGAGCTAAGTCCTACCACATTCAAAAGATCCCTGTGAACCTGGGTAGAGACCTGGTTGGCTGGCAATATGGCAAGACCTGGGGACTGCTGGGCCAAGAGTCAGTGACATAGCCACAGAGGACTAGAGTGGAGACTGAAGCAGCCAGCTGATAAGAAGTGAGGGGAGATGCACAAGAACACCCACACTTGCAGATAATACCCACCTGACCTGCCTTCAATGGCTGGATGATTAGAACTTGACTAGAAGAAGAAAGAGGAGGAAAAAAAAGAGGAATCTGATACAATTTGATGAACTTGATCTACACTTATGGATGCAGTAGCTCAGAAGAGGGAACAAATCTTTACAGCAAGGATCATTCCCATCCACTCAATACACAGGGTTGACAGGGATGGGCAACTTGGACATTGGATACCCAAAATGGGGTGGCGGGGGGGCTACAAAGGCAAGAAGTGACTGGCTTACAAGCTTTCAAGAGGGAGCCTAGATCCAGAGGATACGCAAGAAGGTAGGATCTCCATCAAGTAATATCCAATCTGTCTGGGCGGGGCTGATGAAAAGAGATGGGGATAGGTCTATTGTGGTACAATAGTGAATAATTACTATCAGAACTGACTGTGAGGGTTGGAAATGTCAAGGTGGACGTTTTGTAGCAAAAGGAGTGGAGTGGTTGGCGTTGCAGTCCAGGAGCGGAGGTCCCTGGGACCATCAAGGGAGAAGAGTGGAGTGTGGGACCCTACCCAGAGAAACAGTGCCGCCAGAGATGGAGACAGAGACGATGACGTGGAGAGACGGAGCAGCTGGGGACTCTAGACCCAGAGAGGCAGAGGGGCTGTGTGCTGATGACCAGGGGGCAGGCTTGCTGGGTATACCCTTTGGTTGGTTGATGATGCATGGAAGGGATTGTAATCATGGCAATGAGATGATATACGATAGAATGAATGTAAAGCTAATGGTCTCCCATGTAAACTATCACATAATTCACAATAAAACTTTTTTTTTTTATATATAAACATAGTTTTAAAATATAACAAAAAAAATAAACTACTGGGAAATGTAACCTTTAAAAAAAACAAAAGGTTCCCAAAGGGCATAACCAGAGACAGATACTGGATGGTACCAGCATTATACATTGTTTTTGCTGTTAAGTGCCTTGGAGTCTGTTCCAACTCATAGTGACCCTGTGTAGGGTTTCCGAGGAGCAGCTGGTAAATTTGAACCGTAGACCTTGTGGTTCAAACCGACCTTACAGTGCAGTTTATTATTCCACAACATAACAACAGATAAACTATTTCGGTTCCATTCTTGACGTATCATTCAATTGGAAATGTTGCATGAAATACCTGTGTTGTTAAGTGCCATCAAGTTGGTTTTGACTCATAGAGGCACTGCATAGGGTTCAAGGTGAGCTTGAACCGCCAACCTTGCAGTTCAAACCAACCATCCAGTTCAGCACAGTAACCCACAGCACCACCAGGACGCAGAAAATATAAAAGGATCAAAATGAGAGCCTTAGATATTTAGTAATTAGTCAATCCATGATGTTACTGTTAGGTGCCATCAAGGCATTTCCAATTAACAGCAATCTTAACAGGACAGAGAAGAGGTGCCCGATAGAGGCTCCGAAGCTATAAATCCTTACAGGATAAAAAGCAACTATGTAAGAACAAATGATAAATATTTACCAAAAAGCAAAGATACAAAGGGACAAAGAAGCTAGATTAATGGAACTAGAACAGAAATGGTGAGAACTGTCACCAATGGCATGGAAAAACCTGTATACAAATTATTAAATGGAAAGCTAATTTGCTATGTCAACGTTCACCAAAACAGATTTTTTTTTTTAAACCTTTACAGAGTAGGTGGCCAGGTCTTTGTTGTGATGGGTTTCAACTGCCAACCTTTTCAGTTAGCAGGCCAGTGCTTAATCATTGCGCTACCAGGGTTGTTTACAAAGCAAGATAGTGCAGCATAAATATTTATAACGGGCAAATCAATATTTCAATTCCAATCCATAAAGATTCACCAACCCTGTGTGAAATAAGGATTTTAATTTCCTTAAATACGCAATCCTTGGGGTTCCTTAGACTTCAATTCACTGTGCAGAAAGGACAAACTACTTTTTGAACAAATGGGGATCCAACACTTGGTCACGTAAATTTAGATTCTGAACTGGGATGAAACTATAAAAAGTTATCATTTCCACTTACCTTTGCTGCTTTATAATAGAGTCAAAACCAATAGTTTCCACAGGTTTCTTTCCAATTGTGATCATTTGCTCTTTTCTGCTTCCCTCTAGTCCATCTGCTAACACATAGCGTTTCTTAACTGCAGTAAGAAAGTCTACTCCAAAATTGACCTTGTTGGGACGGATAAAGGATCCTCCAGTTGGGTGCCTGGAAAAAGAGATGAATGGTACTTAGGAAATATTGTCCTCCAAGAAATCACTAACACATTAAGGCAAAGGTGGGCACCGACCCACCCACTGTTCTCAAGTCAATGCAGACTCAAAGCAACCCCACAGCATAGAGAAGACGTGCTCCCCACATTTTCCAAGGCTGTACTCTTATGGAAGCAGACTGCCACATCTGTCTTCTACAGAACAGCTTGTGGGTTCACACCATAGAATTTTGGTGAGGCCAGCACTTAACCCCTGCACCATGAAGGCCCCTCAGTGTGCCACCAGGCTCCAATATTTTTCATATGCTGAAAAGAAAATCAGCGTAAGAGGGAAACTAATATATACCACAGGAAAAATTAACAATGACTGATCATAAAGGGTTATGAACTTATGCAATTAAATAAAATCTCAGTGGATAAACACACACAGGTCCGCTATGAGTCGGACCCAACTCAAAAGCACTTAACAATAACAACAATGATCAAAACAATCAAATATAATTGGCCAAAAAAAGAAAACTCATAAAGCCCCAAGAGTTACATCGCTGGGTTTCTTTATGACTCTAAATCATATTACTGGGGGATTTGTTTAGGTAACTAATTTAAACATAAACATGTAACTTGTATTAAATGACATTTACCAAGACTAAATATAATAGCATGACTTATAATTGAGGAACTCTAGAAACAATGCCCAGTCGTTATCAATGGATAAGAAATATGACGTAAACCAGAGAGATGAGGAATATTACATTAGTCATTTAAAAAGCCTAACTGCAGTACTTACAAAATTACTCTCAAAATAATGCTGAAATTTTACAAAACTGAACACCAATTGTACATGACACAACTACACAGAAATCATGTCTGCATGTAGACAAAGAGTGGTTAAAGACACAAAATATTTGTGAATGACAAGTTATGTACAGAATCTAATTTTAATAACTTGAATCTAAATGAATTTATATTGTTTTACAGCAAGTTTTAATAATGGAGTCCTAGTGTGGCTTGTTGTTGTTGTTCAGTGCTGTGGAGTCGGTTCCGACTCATAGTGACCCTGCACAGGGTTTCCAAGGCTGTAAATCTTTACGGGAGCAGAACGTCTCATCTTTCTCCCGCGGAACCGCTGGTAGTTTCGAACAGCTGACCTTGCGGTTCACAGCCCAATTCATAACCACTGGACCGAAAGGTCAGTATGAACTGCAAGGTCAGAGGTTCAAATTCAACAGCCGCTCCTCAGAAACCCTATACAGGGTCACTATGAGTCAGAATCGACTTGATAGTACTTAACAACAACCAGGATTTACTAAAATATTAGATTCCAAGCAAGTCTTTAAGGTCATTAAATTTCAGCATTCCTTATACCATAGCAATGGTATGTTAATTTCAGGAAATTTCACTAATTTCATAATTTAGCTCTGACTAGACAACAAGGTGTCAGGATTGGAGGAAGACTCAATAACAACCTGCGATATGCAGATGATACAACCTTACTTGCTGAAAGTGAAGAGGACTTGAAACATTCACTGATGAAGATTAAAGAGCACAGCCTTCTGTATGGGTTGCATCTCAATGTCAGAAAAACAAAAATTCTCACCACTGGACCAATAAACAACATCCTTATCAATGGAGAAAAGATTGAAATTGTCAAGGACTTCATTCTTCTTGGATCAACTATCAACATTCGTGGAAGCAGCAGTTAAGAGATCAGACGACGTACT